TATATATATGATAAAGATTATGCATAATAATGTATTTGTGCATTAGTTGGATAAATACTACAACTTACCTCTAAGGGAGGTTTGAGACAAAGAAAGATAATGAATATTATTGTGTAGTTACATGAATATATCATTGGTCGCATGCATGTGATGCGCCAAAAAATATTTTGTCATGCCTTATGAAAGTTATTAAAATCAAAATTAAAGTAAGAAATTATTTTGCTTGTGATGATTTTGAACATGACAATTATTATGAGATGATTCTCTTTGTGAAGGAGACATTCATTATATGGATAGTGTGACAAAAGATCTTGTAGTACAAAAGCAGTTAAGAGCTCTGAAAGAACTAATTTGTTACTACCCGGATTAATGAAATTATTCATGACATTAATATTGTAGTAAATCTCAAAAGAAATATTTTGATTTACAAATATATTGGCCAAAGTGGTTGGCATATTGAGACTATAAATGAAAAGAAGATTGAATATCTTTATATTACTATAATCATATCAGGTAAATATGAAAGGTTACCTGACTTTTCTTCTATTTGTACTACACAAGTATAAGCATGATGATGCAATCACAAGCCACAAGTAAACTAGAGGTTTACTGAAACAAATATTAGTTGGCATAACCGGTTGACCATCTCGGTTCAATTATGATGCAAAAAAAAATTGAGAATTACATTGGCATAGATTCTTCAAGAATTCTCTAGTGCTGCTTATTTTCATGATATACCAGTTAAGGTTGGGATTGAATCCCTTGATTTCTGGAACGAATAAAAGGTGATAAATATATGGGCCCAGTCACCTTCCATGTGGACCGTTTACTATTATATAATTTTAATAGATGCATATATTCTATGGTCACATGTGCATTTGTTATCAACTTGTAGTTTGGCTTTTGCAAGATTGATTGCTTAAATTATTAGAACACAGTTCCAGAATAAATTATGATAATTTATCTTGATAATACTAGTTTAAATCAAAGTTGGTTTAGCAGAAATTGTATGCCTCCAATTAGATCTAAACCATTGGTTATGAGAACAAAATTGCCAAAATAAAAATTGACATGTGATGTATTATTTAATATACAACAGCACTTGTACGCATCTAGCCAAGTTATGATAAGTTCTCTCTATCATAATCGGTTCAGGTCAGGAACCAAATAATTTTCATCTAGAAATATGAATGTGCTATATGATTTAATTGTTCCATCACAATGCACAAAGATAGATCCCTAAATAAGACTAGGGATATATGTTGGTGATCCCAACAATAGGGGGAGAAAATGGGCAGCTGAAAAAATAATGCATGTAATGAATTATTATGAGTACATCGAGATCCTCGTACGAGAAAATGTGAATTTGAAGTTCAAGTGATAATTCATTTGCAAAATATTGCCAGGCGTATTTGCTGACCTAAAGCTAAATGTCATATTCAACTGCTAATGCTCCAAATAAAATAAAGTTCATAATGAATAGAGTCCATGGCATGCATAAAGCATAATAGACTAATCAGTTCCAAAGATAAAACTCCTTGAAGAAGGAGATGAGCAAATGTTCAAGATGGTCATAATAAGGAGGCAAGTGCTCTAGAAGAGCACCACGACATAACACTTCATAAGACCTCATGGGAGAGGCTCAGGTACCTGAAAATAATAAGATAAAGAGATCTCAATAAGTTATGTCTTTATTGGGTAATAGTAGAACCGATATAAAATGATCGTCGACGATATTGTTAATATAATGTAGCGCTCAATATTATTAATATTGACGAGGATCTTGAGCTCAAATCTGTCATGAAATTTGGACAGATAAATAATTGGCCAAATAAAAAATACGCAATAAAAATTAATTTCACATGAAAAATATGAAGTTGGACGGATAGTCCCAACACTTGAAAGTATAAAGCCAGTGGAGGTATAAATGTGTTCTTATGCGAAAAAAAGGGTCAAGTCGATAGACATAAAGACGACTTGTGTCACAAGAAGATTTGTAAATATCCTGGCATTGATTATACAGAGACATGTTCTCTTGTGGTGGATGTCGCCATTTCAGATTTTAATCTGGCAATACAAGAAAAACGTGATATGCGTATAATGGAAATCATTGAAGGATTTAAATTGCTCTGAAGCATATTAAGGTTTCCAATAAATTTATTAAATAAAGCTTCAAAAATTCTTATACGGATTGAAACAATCAGGGCGCATGTGGTATAATCGCCCGAGTGAGTGCCTGTTGAAAGAAGGGTACAAGAGTGATTCAATTTGTCCTTGTGTCTTTATAAAAAGATCTAGATCTAAATTTATTATAATCACCGTGTATGTTGATGATTTAAATATCATTGGAACTCCTGAGGAGCTTCCTAAAACAGTAGAGCTTCCTAAAGTAGTAGACTATTTAAAGAAAGAATTTGAAATGAAAGATATTGGAAAGACAAAATTTTGTCTTGATCTACAAATTGAGTATATAAAAGATGGATTTTTTGTCCATTAATCAACATACACTAAAATAATTTTAAAGTGATTTTATATGGATAAAGTACATCCATTCCGACCTCATAAAAATAATGAAGAGCTTCTTGGTCCCGACGTACCATATCTTAGTGCAATTGGTGCACTAATGTATCTTTCTAACATTACAAGGTCTGACATAACTTTTTCAGTTAATATTTTAACAAGATATAGCTCTACTCCTACAAGGAGACATTGGAATGGAATCAAACACATATTGCGGTATCTAAAAGGGACTACCGGTATGGGATTATTTTATGGCAATGATTGCAGTCCTGATCTTGTTGGTTATGCCGATACTGGGTATTTATATGACCCACAAAAGGTTCGATCTCAAACAGGCTATGTGTTTACATATGGAGGCACTGTCATATCTTGGCGATCGACTAAGCAATCAATCGTGGCTACTTCATCTAATCATGATGAGATAATTGCTATTCATGAAGCAAGTCGAGAATGTGTATGGTTGAGGTCTATAATACACCTTATTCGAGACAAATGTGGTTTGAAGTGTAACAAACTACCCATAATTTTGTATGAAAACAATGCAGCATGCATAGCCCAGTTGAAGAGAGGATTCATAAAAGGGGATAAGATAAATCACATTTTACCAAAGTTATTTTTCACACTTGATCTTCAAAAGAACGATGATATGAATGTGCAACAGATCCATTAAAGTGATAATATGGTTGATTTGTTCACCAAATCTCTACCGACGTCAACCTTCAAGAAACTAGTATACAAGATTGGGATGTGAAGGCTCAAGGATGTGGCTCAAGGATGTGAATTGATACTCTCATCAAGGGGAGTTAATACGCGTTGTACTCTTTTTTTCTTACAAGATTTTGTCCCACTGGGATTTCCTTGCAAGGTTTTTAACGAGGCAACCAAAAGGCGTATTTCTAAACATGTGTACTCTTTTTCCTTCACTAGGATTTTTTTTTCCATAGGATTTTTTTCTAATAAGGTTTTAACGAGGCACATTATCTATGGATATCCAAGGGGGAGTGTTTTAAGAAAAATCAAATTATGGTGGATGTCTACTTTTCCTCCATGATATTCTCAAATGCTTAATGACATATTCAATGACATATTTCTATGCTTAATGACATATTCAATGACATATTTTTCTTCACTTTTCATGCATATATAAAGTTCTTGTAATAGATAGGAAAATACACACAATTGAAGAAGAAAATCTCTTCCTTCTCTCTATCTCCATTTCTTGTTCATGTTTTACTAAATTGCTTTTATTTCATAACAACATGTCTTGTTCATGTTTTACTAAGTTGCTTTTATTTTATAACATTTTTAATATTATAACTTTTTTCTTTTGTTACTTTATAATTTTTTGTTGCGATTACTCAACAATTTTAAAAAATAAAAGATAAAGCCATAAATATAATTTGCAGTCTCAAAAGAGAATGTTTTTTGTTAATGCGGCGACCGAATAAATTATAATTGGACTGCTGACTTTATCGAATTTGACTCAATTTGTCAAGTGATACTTAAACTAACATAATCCCTTCCTCCTGCTTTGTTTCGATGAGTAATTTTTTGTCACGACTAAACTAATTAGTAAGTTAGAGTTTTCAAAAATTAAAATGTATAGGAGAAACTAATTAGTAATAAATGAGAATTAAGTTTGGTATCCCACACATAACTAAACAATTCCTATATGTTATTTATTGCACGACAAACTACATAATATTATAGTATTATTCACTGCATAACGAATTTGCATTTCAATATAACTAACACATAAATTAAACAAATCTTTAAGGTTCGAGTTTATTTATTTATGCATTAGCCCCAGTTATTTATTTACTTAGGGTTTCCAAAAAAAAATGTAGGCACACCATGTATCGAGATCAGGTTAAAAGTACTATGTAACAATGAATGATTGGCTGAGGAATTAGAAGTGTCAACGGTTCGATTTAACCTGTTATTACTAAAAAAAAATCAATTAATTTATCATGTATGATCAAAATTAGACTTTTTCGTATTGCTCCAATTATCTCAATTTCTCTTCTATTTCAGTACCATATTTTTAAAACAATAAATAAGAACACTAATATCACTAGGATTCTCAATGTGTTACCTAAAAGTAGAATACTTCAATATAACATTAAAAAGTTCCAATTCTCATGTTAAGAAACAATATATGAAATGAATACTAACCTTTAAAATATACCTGCTTTCAAAAGTATTTTTTTTAAATTGTAGGCGCATTATTTTTTACTCTACCATCAATGTAAACTTAAAAGCATTGCCTCATTTTCGTATTGTTTGATTGAATATACTAAGAAAAATCAAGACTAAAATTAGATGAATGAACAAAAGTATTTAAAGAAGACATATGTAAGAACTAGAAATCCAAAAGTTGTCTGATATAGAGTATAAACGAAATACAAAAGATAATTTGAAGTCATAAATTTGCACTTGAAATAAATATCTTATAGCCAACTTCTTGGATTTTCTCCACATGCACCGGAAAAGCCTCATTAAAGAAGGGTAAACTGAGAAAAACACTCAATAGTTTGACTTAAATACATGCTACCATGAATCTTGGCGCGCGGTTAACAAGACAAAATTCATCCCTTATGATAGTACAAGGTAGTGTACAATCATACAACACATTGGAGAAACACAAAGTAACTCTGGTAAGTGCAAGAAGAGTCATCCTCGAGTTGTTCTGCACCGTCGGTCATTGCTCATTTGCTGCTGATTTGTGACAATTCCAGCAGCAGCAGCAGCAGCATGTAAATAGCTTAGGATCTTACACACAACATGCCTCTATAGGACACATTTCGTCTAGCAATTTTTGGGCTGATAGTCCGGATATTACGCAGATTATTGGAGGCAGAAAGAATAATTCAAGAAGCAGGAAGGCCCGGGACTTTACGAGCATAAACCAGCACCATCACAAAGTCTTTTGCTGATGAACCAATTATAGCCGGTACTCTTTCTGAGTTGGTAGTTTCAAGCCACATATCCACCAAAGTATTCAGTTGTAAAGTGGGGACTATCAACTGACCCATACATCTAATTTCAACCTACAAAATAACGAAATCATAGAACTGGAACCATCACAGATATGCTTCCCTATATAACACCCAATTCTTGAGTCGCAGATTGTGGAGAACTAGGAGAATCAGTAATGCATGAAAAAGATATAAAACAGGTTCATGGAGATGCCAAAACTCATCATAAAAAAACACAACCACCTGAAACTCACCTGCTTGACTTTGTATTACTTGTGCTGAAATGACAATAAACCATGAGAAAAACTCAGTCACTGATAGACCCTAGAACCAAAACTATTGATAGCCGTCTAGCTCTTTTCTAGTACAACTTCATTAACGACTTGATATAGTCCAGCTACTATTTGTCAAATATTTTAGTATAAATTGCTTGGACCAGCTACTTTCTTCCAACATTGAAACTAGGGAAAATGGCCAAATATATCCCTCTACTCTCGGATATTGTCTACATTTAACCTCCGTTATACTATCCGGTCAAATTTACCCCTGCCGTTATACTATCCACCCAAATTTACCCCTACCATCAGCAAACTTTTCAAAATTATGCCCCCAATCCGTCAGGTGACCCAGAATCTCCCAGATCGTTTTAATTAAGTCATTTATTCTTCTTCTTGATCCACTATTTTCGAAATAATTGCATTTACCTGCTTTCTTAATTGAAAAAAAAATAAGAGAAAGAAATATTAAAAATAATACAACGGTTAGTAAACAAAGTACAGTAAATTGAAGAATCTAAATTAGGTAGTTTGTCTAAATTTTAAAAGTATTTACAACATCCCAACTTTAATGAATTCGTTGGACCAAAGGTATGGAGACTTTGCAAGTATTAGTGATAAAAGTTAAAGTTCCTTGGAGACTTTATATTGTCGAATTCAACATTGCTTTAATCAAATGCCTACGCATTGTGCACTCTTAAGTTAGTCGATCAAACTCTATATTAACCGGACAATAACAAAATATATTCGAATATACATGTACATACATGATGATCAACTGCATATAATACATAATAAATAGACCCACTGAATTCTGCGGTGTGTATATGGTTGAAAAATAAATAAAATTTAAACCAATTCCAAACTCATTATCACAAGAAAAGAACTGGGTGCATTGGTAATTAAATATATCCATGAATAATTTGTATAGTCTAGTACCTTTAACATTCGCATCAATAGTAATTTCTAAAAATAGTGGACCAAGAAGAACAAGTGATTTAAATAAAAGGAAATTGAGAGATTTTGGATTACTTAACAGATCAAGGGGTAATTTTTAAAAGTTTGCTGATGGTAGGGGTAAATTTGGCTGGATAGTATAACGATAGGGATAAATTTGGCCGGATAGTATAACGGAGGTTAAATGTAGACAATATCCGAAAGTAGAGGGGTATATTTGGCCTTTTTCCCTTGAAACTAACACGGATTACTTATTTCACCGTGTATGGTCTAATAAACGTGGGTCTATCGGAAACAACCCCTCTACCTTCATGAAATAGGGGTAAGGTCTGCGTACACATTACCCTCCCAAGGCCCCACTTGTGGAATTTCACTGGGTTGTTGTGTTGTGGTGTAACAAACAATATTATTCTGCGCCTGCTTCTATGCGTCTTTGCTACCCTTTCCCTTCTCAATTTGAATGAAATGAAAGGTAAATTGGAAAATAACTTATTAGTAGATGCCACATATTACCGTTGAACATCACATAAGACAAATTACCGTCCCTCGTCTTAATATTCACATAACTCAAAACGGTTAAACTATCCAAGGTTTATGTTACCAAACATGATGCAAGGTGATTTCTTCAATGCTGAAACAATTTCTGCACCTTCTATTCCCAAAAAGTTCTCCAGTTGGACCAATTTTCTTAATACTTCCTACTTCCAGAAGGACCGAAACCAACTAGACCAAAATCACACTCAATAGGACAAAGAATTAGAAAAAATCAAGCCCCTCCATATTTTGTTTGAACTTTGACCAGAATGATGCTGGATTATTTAGTGCATAAATGTTGAGAGCATTCTGTAAGTGCTAAATGGTAGCCAAAGAGCAACAAAAATTACCTCATCTTCGCTCATAAGATCTAACTTCCTCATCAGATACTTTTGGATGAAAGAAACGGGAATATTTCCATCCCTGCAACAGAATGAAAAAGAACATGAATACTATAACAAAAATGTGCAGACAGTCGCAAAACGCTAAACTAGTGGCTGTATCCGACTATAAGTGGACAATTTAAATCTAAATTTTAGTGCATGGCTATTTTTCCCTTGACCTTCCTATAGATCCTCTCAGTCTCTATAAGGACCAACCAATTGGTGACAGAAAATCAGAACGGATTGATGCTGGTATTTATAATACCAGAAGAAATACAGTAAAATGTGGATTATTACGTCCCTTTCAATATTTTCAGAACCAACAACTGATCCAATAATATATTGAAAAGACTGCCAATACATGACAACATTCAGTGAGATAGTGAAAGCAAGAAATTATATGTGAGAAGTTCATATAGAGAGGCAACACTTGAGAAGCTATCAAACAAGTGAAGGGGAAAAAAGGAACGCAAAGGTAAAAGCTCAATTGGTAAAAATGCTTTGTAAAACATCATGCAACACACAAATATTAATCATCAAGTTGTCCAAGGAGCTCCAGAGACAGAGAAATGCCTCCTCAGCTTATCCCTAATGGAACAAAGAGGAAGAGCTAATGGTGTTAGATGATTGGCCTATCAACTCTACCAACAAACCACCACTGTAGTTCACAACCACGTCTTTTTTACCTTGCATTCAACCCAATTTTGTAGGTCGAACAACAGGAATTTGTCTCAACTAGTTGCTTATTTAAGGAACACTGTCCTAAACCACTTACACTGAAAGGGCAGACCAGCTCCTCAATGTTTAAAAAGCAGTTCCCTTTGGTACCTTAATTGTCTTCAGCATATTCTGCGTAGACTCCAAAACCCGTATCCTCCGCATATCTCTATCAAGAAATCCAATTAGCAACTTCAGGGCACGTAATATATAATACTCCCTCCATCCCATTTTATGCGGCACCCTTTGACTTGACACAGATTTTAAGAAAAAAATAAAAAATTTTGAAACTTGTGATCTAAAACAAGCCTTAGATATTTGTGTGGCCATAAATCATCTCATTAAGGGTACAATGGGAATTTTTGAGTTAAACTTCTCAACACAGAAAGTGACATTCTTTTCGAACGGATTAAAAAGGAAAGAGTGTTATATAAATTGGGACGGAGGGAGTAATGGTTATGGGAGTGCTGTATCACACTCACTAAAAATTCCGACCTAGTTGAGGTCTAGTATATGAACCATCGATATCAAGTCCACTCCATTTGGACCCATTTCAACCTAATACTATACCTGTTAATCGGGCCGGGCTGACCCAGTTCAGCCCGGTACTGTAGCGTGGGGGAGGGCTGGGACGGGTTGGGCGGGGAGCGGGTTTCAAACGAACATTTTTTTGATACCGGTGCACCGGAACCCGCTAAGCCAGTTNACACTTAAGTATCAATAACATTGAATAAGAAAAACAAAATTTACTTTAAAAAAAAATAAAAATTCCACGGCCCGCTAAGCCCGAACCCGGACGAACAAAAAAAACCCCTAAAAAGTACAGCCCGCTAACAGCCCGCAACGTTAAACGGACGAGCTGATTTTTTTTGTGTCCAGCCCGTCCCAGCCCGCCCGTTAAACACCCATACCTAATACTCAAATTAATTTACGGGCTCTCTTACACTAGATGTTCTCTACACCAGCCTGGTGTAATTGTATTGTATCAAGGTGACTATGTCTTAATCACAACTAGTTGGTATCACCTATATATAATTTGTTTTCTTTCTTTTCTATTCTCCTCCAAGTCTGCATGAATTTTGAGAGATTGTAGGCCACAACTATCTCCATGTAATTGTAAGTCTGCTTCGTCTCCTTTTAACACATTTAATCATTATTGTATTGCACTTATTGCACTTATATACTAGTGCATTTGAAGATTTACATAGAACATAACAAAACAATCTCAGGCGACCCTCTCCCATTTTATCATCTATATGTGCTATTTATATCTTCCCCTAATCTTGTATGAATGCATATCGATCTCAATATCCGCATTTCTATTACATTCATCTTAACTGAACAACGAATTGATCTCGGTCGTAACCTTCTTATGATCAAATGGATTATTGTAAGTCCAAAATGTGAACAACTCAGCAAGAATCCATTAGGCAAGGTACTAAAATGGCCCCGCAGGTCCTCATCCAGTGGCTTCATTAGGTGCACGTCTCGTGGAAGTTAATTGTCCTCCTTTGTTAGAGTTGGATATTAAGCCCTTTTGGTATATGAAGACAGGGTAATTTGTTCCATGCATGGAATTGTTTGCACATATAAATTACTCTTCTAAGTGTGATTGCCATCTGAGTTCACTCTTTATTCCAGATGCTCTCCGACTACATCTGTTTCCAAGGCGGTGTCTGCACAACAAGTGATAGATGTCCAACTCACAGAATTATAAATTTTAAGAGTAAGGGTCTGATTTTCACTTGACCAGCTTAACTGGCTAGCGCTGGTCCAATCAGTTCTAAAAGCAGGGTTAGCTATATGAAGATATAGTGGGAAAACTATATGAAGATATCCAAAATTCCAAATCCATCAAATGTGAAAAGGTAATACAAGCTACTAAGTTAGCTTTAAGACAAACAAGATCAATCAATGGAGCAAAAGAAGCTAAGTCGTTGGAGAGAACTATCCTAAGTTGGATGTGAAATTCCCTCATATGATTTTTTGCTACAAGAAAGAGGTCAACCAACCAATAGTAAGTAATGATGCCTTAGAGAAGACATCAAACACCAGTGGTAAAAGACCACAACAAGAAAAATTAATGAGAAAATAATCAATTGTCAGAGACTGAGAAAAGGACATAGCAAGCTGGGAAGACTTTAGTTAGTCTTTTATAAAGATAATAAAGCAAGATTGCTTTCTCGCTGTAATCTTGCAATTACCAATTACTCTCCATGTCATATTGAACGTCATGGTTTAACTTTATAGGATTTCTAGAAGAGAAATATTGACTTTGAATAGTTAATTCAATAGAAGTAAAAATTATGGTTATTCTATTACAAGGAGGTCTAAAAGTGAGGTGATATGCTACTTTTGGTTTATTTTGTAGCTGGCACATATACGAACTGCTAATTTATGATAAGATGCAAGATATTTCAGTTTAAGAAATGAAAATAGAATCTGTACAGCTTAAATCGAAAAACATAACATAATTAGTTTTATTCCTTTCTTGGCACTAGGAGAAATTGGTGATGCCATAGTTACTATCAAAAGAGATAATTAGCATCTAAGCTCAAAATTCGAAAAGAAGAAATGATACATTACTCCCTCCTCCACCCTCTTACCATATCGATAGAGCAAAAGATATCGAGGCTTTAAGTATCTAACTCGTGCAGCCATATACATTTTTTATGCAATTCATTCGGATCATTAGAACTTAACAAAGAATTCTAAGACCAGACAGAAACCGCATCACAAGATAAATATTTCACTACAAGACAGGAATGAAATCACAAAGAAGCTTACTTTATTCTCAAGTAACTTGCAGAAATCTGGGGCAAGGGTGCACCTCCCTCCCTGAAACAATTGATTGGAGATTCATTGAATAAAATCATTTGGAAATACAATTTCTTTCTCAGAAAGATATACACATAAAAAGGATTCTACAAGATAAAGTAGATTCTTACTGATCTTCAGAGGCCACCAATGAGAACCAAATTGGATTATTCCTTCTTTCACATTTGGCAGTGATTGCATCCAGCACAGTTTGTGGTGAAATACTAGATTCTCCAAATTCTGATGCCTTCTTTTGGCGATTCCTTCGCAACTTTTTAGGTTTATCTGATCCCAAATGAGAAGCTCCGCTGTTATTCTTGTCATCGTGAACTTTGATTTTCAGTCCACGTTTTTTCAATTTAGTTTTATGGACATGAGCTTCATTGCCAAGGGAATGCAGACATTCTAATTTAGCAGTAGAACCTTGGGAAGTAAACTTCGCAGACTTGCTCTGGTTTGCTACTTCGACCAAACAGTTCAAAGGTTTCCATAAATCAACTTTACCTTCCCACTGGTCCGTGCCATTCTCCGTTTCGTTATCAGGCGTGGGTTGGCCAGAAAGCTCAGCACTGGAAGAATTCTGCAGAAGCGGCAGGATTAAGTTTAACAAGAATATCCACCCATATACACTTGATACTGACCTCAGAAAATATTCCAAGGAAGCCTAAGATGATGCACCACACCACTATTGAAGAATGACTTTACCTGCCTTATGTTCTGAGTGAACTTGGTCAAAGTCTCAGGTGAACTAGAGCTATCCAGTTGATCTTCTCCAGATATTTTTTCCTCTTTCTTGATAGGTTTCTCAACAGAAAAGGTGGAGCCTCGTAATGCTTTTCTTGCCACTGATTTTGATCTTCTTCCTGTTGTTCCAGTCTGTGTTGATACTCTTGGAGTGCTGACCACTAGTGAAGATAGTGATCTCGCTTTTCTCCTGACTGGAAGGGAAATCGGAGGCACAACTTCAGGTGCCTGCACCTTTCGCCTCTTGTAAGGGAATATCTTTGCTCTTACATCTTGCAGATTATGATCTGGCCTGAAATGAAAAGGAAAAAAGAAAAGATAAATTGACATGTGGGGTATGGCAAATAAGAAGAGTTAACCAGAAAACCCCTCAGTCACTTTGAACCGGCCCCATCAGTACAATGTGCTGTGTATATTTATCTCTCTCTTTACTCGAAATAGGAGCACGTTCGGAAAAGGATCGAGTGTCTAAGATTGGACCAAAAGGGTCTCTTAACGCCTTCTTTTTTCTTCTTATAGGAGTTATTCAACAAAGATTTTCCAGGATAAGGCAGAAAGGGCGAACAAGCTTCAGGAAAACCTCATATTTCAAGCAACCATGGATGTGAATACTATATGCATAAGTGCAGGTATGTGCACTCATAATCAGCAAAAATTCATGCTAGCCAATGAAGCATCTCACTGAGCCTACCCTGAGGTAAATGGTGAAAGCTACCCAATTTTGTTTTAATAAGATATACGTGCACTCATGATCAGCAAAATTTCATGATAGCCAATGAGCATCGCACTGCGCCTGGCCTAAGGTAAATGGTGAAAGCTACCCAGTTTTATTTAATAAGATATATACAATTAGCTAATATCCACAAGTCAAATGTTGCACTACATACTCCCATTTCTCTTTTGTCATTCTCTCTTCTACTGCCTTCAAGAACTTCCAAGATCCACGAAAGTGAACTTTAAATCCTAATGTTATCAAGGCCATTCTTAGAGTACAAGTCACCTTACTTTGTCTATGTCAAGTTTCCTCTCTACATACCGCAAGCAATCACTTGTCATTGCCTATGTGGTCTCATTTGGCAGAACCTCCAAAATGTATCACAGATCAACTTTTTAAGTGAATTCGAAATTTTGCAGTGTGTTCGGTTAAAACTTTCTAGTCAATCTTAGCAGTACATAGTACAAACACGGAAGAGCACTTTGATTTCTGCCCAATCTTCTAAGTGAAATCCTAATTCATTTATGATAAGCACCAAAACAATCATGTAGAGCACTGTGATCTCTGTTCAGTATTCTTAAGATTCTAACTCATCTATGTACGGAAAGCACGAAATATTGATGAACAACTTGGAGAATTGTTTATTTGGCAATGAACTACGTAGAGAATAATGCAACTGTAGTGGGAGAAAGTGGAAATTTCAATACTTCATCGAATGTCCATCCTCCTATGAGCATAGCACATTGCTCTCAGATTCATCATTAATTGATGTTAGGTCAGTAAAAAGTAAGAAGGTAACACATGCACATCCAGGCATTTGGCCTCTTTAAATATCAAAAAAAACTATAAAGCTAAAGTCTCCACCCCATATCTTTCACACAAGGGTCAAGACGCTCTAACTTGTTGCATATGCATATCAAACTTCAAAGGGACAACATTGCAAAGCAGTCTGGAACTGAACATGCAGTACGCTTCATGTTGTTAAATTTGATAGGCTTACAAAATGAAGTTAATCAAAAGAGTGATATGCTACTAGAAGTTCCGCGTATAACTATAAATGCAAAAGGTAAAACTAGAACTATCTACATCAATATGCCAATTGAGCACTCAAGCACACATTTGCATGTGAAGATTAACAGAAAAAGGGAAAACAGTGAAAGTAGGAAGATATTTATGACCTCAATTTCTCTAATGGGACACAGCCCAAGTCAATATTGCATATTGGGCAGCGTTCCGTTTCTTCATCGGAGAGCTTCTTATAGATGCATTTCCTGCAAACTGGGTGAAACTCAGAAAAAATATTATCACAGGAAGAAAAAAACTCATCTTTTCTAGAAACAACAGAAGCTAGTGTCGATATTGCTCAAATTAAAAAGCAAAATTATTCTTTTTAAGGGGAATGAGAAGAATGTAAGGAAGTTTAAGTCATTCATTAACCATGATGTTTAAAAAAGTATACATTGACTAAGGTCAATCAAGCATATGTTCCTCCTTATGTGATTAGCGAAGAAATTAACATTCCAATAGCTGCATAATTAACATATATTTCATAAAAAATTCCAATTGAACCCTGTGAAAATTAAAGAGATATAGCATAAGAATAAGTCATGTGCCACGTCACCACATTTTGTTGAAGCTCAATTACACATAATGAACCTAAGTGTCCATCTCTCTCTCTCTCTCTCGGAACAACATCAGGCAAAGATCTTGAAGAGAAAATTCCCACATAAATCAGCAACTGCTAATTTAATTCATTGCCACTGAGTAAATATGTGAAATTTATTTAAACAAGCTTATCAATCAAACAAGTATAGCTCCATTTATTTAATTGATAAAGAAGATATCTTGAATAGGAAATTTCTATATAAATCAGCAAATGCTAATTTAATTCATTACATAAGTAAATACGCGACATTTAGTTTAACAAGCTTATTAATCAAAAAGGTACAGTCAGACCTCTCTATAACGGCATTCATATATAACAATCATTCTCTATAAAAGCCATTTTTTCTTGGAACCAATTTTTATGTTATGTGATAATATATCTTCTATAACAACACTTCTCTGTAGCAGCCAAAAAATATCGGAATAATATAGCTCGTCCCATTTAGTTGATAAGGCCAAGATACTGAGTTTATGTTCGATGTGAGATTTATTTAAACAAGGTTATCAATCAAACAAGTATAGCTCGTTCTATATAGTTGACAAAGCAGATATCTTGGATAGGAAATTTCTATAAAAATTAGCAACTGCTAATTTAATTCATTACAACTAAGCAAATATGCGACATTTATTTAACCAAGCTTATCAATCAAACAGGTATAGCTCGTCCCATTTAGTTAATAAAGCCAAGATACTGACTTTATGTTCGAACCACCCTATAACCGTTCAAATACCGAGACAAAGAGGTATACTCAATTCTCTAAAAAGAAAAGACTACATAAAACCTCTGAGCACATTAAAATCACCCAAATTTTAATCTACCTAAAATGATAGTACAAATAAAGCAAACTCAGATCGAAAATTCAAAATTCCAATAGAAAGAACTTACACGTGTGAAGACATTCGGAAACAGTAGTGGCATCTCTAAAGAGCTTATGGCAAAGAGGGCATGTTATGCATGCCGCAATTCTATCTCTCTTCACTTTCACCACTTGATTCGCCATATTTCTCTTTAATTAATTATCAGCTCTTCGCACTTAATTACAATTCTTTGAATATGAAACCCAGTCCTCGTTATAGATCCTCAGTCTCAAATCTCACGTAAAATCAAGCAGTGCATGCTACAAACACCTCATAAACACATGGAATTTACGTCCATTTGCCCTTTCTTTATCTGCATTAAACCCAAAAAAACAGAAACTAAAATCATCAAACAGAACTTGTTATGAAGCAAAACTGTTATCACAGTAAAGTGACATGTGAATCTGGGTATGAAAAGATTGAAATTTGAAAAAAGGGGTAGATTTGATTTCGGAAAAGGGGACGTGGGTTGGTGATGGATTTGGGGTAGGGGTGGGGGGATTCGGGTCGTTGATGATCTTCTCTTCTTCTTCTTCTTCTCTGTTACTTCTGTGTGTATTGTGTTTGTGTAATTTGGGTTTTGGGAGTTGAAATCGAGAGAAAATGGCTTTGAGGCTTCGTGTTCAGAATGGCATGAACTAAAGAGAATACTTTCTGTACTTTTTTTTAGAAAATATATTACGGACAGAGTAACTTGCAAGTTTTACTATTTTTACAGATATATTTTTTTAAAAGTCACAAATTTTACCTTGTACTATTTGAGATTTAACTTTAGAAAATATTTGTCGAATTTTACCCTTGTAATGAAATTAGAAATAAGTTTCATGTTTGCTCTTTATTGTAGATCATATCAAAGTTTGAGGAATAAATATAATTTTTTTCTAAGAATTTAAACACGTAAAATTCACCTATTATGTTCGGGGAGGATGTAGCCCTATAGCAACGGATTTTATCGAATCAATAACTTTCGATACGAATCACAAATTTATGTGCTCAAATTTATTGAAATCGCCATAAATCATAAGTATATACCATACCTATAACTTTAAGAAATATAATGAATTCAATACTAGGAATCTTAAAGGCTGAACTCATAGAATTTAAATCTTAGATTCAACTCTCGTAGAGCTTAGTGTGAGATAATTTGGTAACGATTAATTTGAAAAGATAAGAATTATATATGGAATATATTAGAACATCCTTTTTCTATTTTTTTACTTCTATAAAATTTTATAGGACAGTAAATTTTGGACTAAAGACGAGTGTTTGGTGATAAATTTATTTAGACTAAATCGTGATTATACTATATTCTTTTGCTGGGTTAGTATCAAAATTGGAAATAGAAATCAACTATCCAAAAATCTTGCTTGGAATTTCATTTTGATTGGGATTCTTTGGCGCGAGAATGAAGAAAAACAAAAGATTAAACAAACTAAAAAGCTATGATGCCTATGAAAATAATATCTCGTTTAAAAAGTTATGATGCCTATGAAAATAATATCTCATTTGAAGTAATTTGAAATTTGGGGAGAAAAAAGTTTAAGAGATTTGAAGAATTGTTTACCCTCAAAATCGGATAACAATTAAATTTGTAAGTGGTTCTAAGGATACGAGGATTAAATTGACACAAAACGATAAATTAGATTGCAATTGAAATAAACAATGAGAAAGTAAATGCAAACTACACAATTGAACAGTCTCAGCCTTGGAAGGTTAATCACCCATGAGCCGGACGTACTTCGATCGGTATCAAGACACAGAAGAATAAGAGATTAAAGAGAATAATAATGTATCGCTTTGGAATGCGTGTTACAATATATTTTACAAGTAATCATACCCTTTTATATAATAAGGGAGTCCTACATTAGTTACAACTCTATAAAAAGTAAAAAAAATCTCTTGATTTGCTGATTGTCTGTTCCTTATTGATACATGCCGAGATTCTCCGCCGTAATATCCGATCAGTCACGGACATTTCGGTCTTCTGTTATGGTAACAATGTTTCTTCGAGGTCGTTTGAACCAGGACCGATTCCGGAGTCACGACCTATGTGTTATCGAATACGGGTGTTTGGTCCCGGTTGCTAACCCGGTGGGGCTTGGGGCCGATCTTCAATCCTTTATTACCATGTTTCGAGCCCGGCCTATCATGTCGGATGCTAGGGTATACTACGAGCTCGATTTTACTCGTATACAATTTCATTCATGAAAGAATAATAAAAATAAAAAATCCATGAAAGGATTTGATTTGTTGGTACCGTATCCCACTATCCCTGTAAGTAAAGGATTCTATACTTAAGGTAAGTCTAAATTATAGGAATATTTAGTTTTAACCATAGGATTGATTTAGTCTTGGCTTTTGGATTTGAAAATAACGTAGGATTATGTCATTAAATTAGATCTGTATAAGTGAAATTGGAAAGATTTTATACAGAAGGGGAGCTGGATCCGGGCTTCTTATATGCGTGACGGCGTGCTACAAAAAGGAGGGTTGGCGGTTAGTTGAGTGTCGAGGTGCATGTTAGCATGGGCGTGCTACTTAAGAATTCTCTTTCCTCGATTATTTTTTATTGTGTGAGGAAAGAGATTGTTAAAAAGTATACTATGTTTGATCAAAAAGTATAACTTTCGGTTAAACCATTATATTTATGTAATGATGGGTTAAACCTAGTTAATAATAATATTCCTAAATATGGATCTTGAAAGTATGGACAATGTGGGGTTGATCCAGTGGGGGATTAATAATATCGTGTATTAAATACTCCAAATGTATGAACAATAACGGAGGAGTAACTAGTAATAAATAACAATAAACGGCATTTTAATAAATAGAAAGAAGGAATCACCCATTAATGAATGAGTTGGATGATTGTTTCTCGTGACAATGATACGTGACAGGTAAATCCGAGAATGTTCGAACTATTCTCAGATATGATGGAAAAGCATGGAATAACATGAGCAAGAATAATGATAAAAAGGCAATGATTGTATCTTTGCTAGAGAGAGAACGAGAATCTTTTTCTGAAAAGTGTTCTTGTCCAATGAATATTACATGTCTTTTTTCCTTATTTATTTGAGACATGTCTCTAACGAACCCTAATAGTATAGGTGCAGAGAATTTTCACTAGAATATTCTCATTAATATCCTATTTCAAAACTAGCCATTATTGTTCTGTCAACGGTGCTCGACCTCGGCCATTGCTTCCATCTTGACCACGAATCTTGCTTCTCCCTGTCCGACCTCGACTGACTCTTTCATTAATACTATATTACCCTAAATATTATGGGGCAGATTTTTGACCTATACAGTTAGTCCATTCGCTTATTGAGGCCGGCCTCATGCGGGCTCGATGAGCGGATATTGTGTTACTGGTCAAAGCATTTAGACGATCTGAACGAGTCGTGATAATTGGAGAGAGTTTGCAGCGTGTCCCTTTGTGAACCGTAGTTTATGGGATCGTATGTCCCACGAATCAGGATGATGACATGGCGACATGAGTCATTATGACGCGATTTTCCGATACGTTGCTTCATTTCGCGCGTGTCTTCTGATTGAATTCTACCACTTCGGTTACTGTGGCAGGTAATGATGGATTAATTCCTTGGTTTCGACGCTTGAATTTTTATAAATAGCGGTGTGTGGGAAACGTTTCAACCTGTATGAAACCCCTTGCATAAAAAAACATTGTATCTTATTCTTCTTCCCCCATTGTTGTGTATCTTCTTACTGGTTTTAGTGATTCTTGCTGCTTCTAACACTTCCTTGCTTGAACATCTCCCCTTAATCAATATAACTAATGTGCCCTCTTTTTCTGGTATGGGAATTGACCTTGTCCCTTTGGCGGTGCTTATACCCCTTCACGTTGATAGGGTCTTTGTCGCCATTGAGGAAGAAACTTTTCCTACGGTGGAGGAAATAATCACTCGTAGTGAGAAAGTTAGGTCCGATTTCTCGAAGGCGTCCGAAGGCGAGCCCGAAATTTTGGAGTCAGTGATGGAAGAGGCCGATATGGCCGAGATTAGGGCAAAATTCAACATTCCTGTCCACATCGATCTGATCCCAGCAGGGCACGATGTGGTGCAAATCCACCGCCCCGGATATTGTGCGTTCTATGTGTATCCTTTCCAGGTCGGCTACACTCACCCCTTCTCCCATTGGCGGAGGAATTTTGCCGCTATTACGGTATCTGCCCGGCCCAACTCTCTCCGTACATTTATAGACTTATCAGGATGTTCTCAAAATTTGCCGAGTTGGCCGGAGTCGAGATCACACTCCGTCATGTGATGCATCTCTCCGCCCCTATCTTTTATAGGGGGACGATATTACATCTTCGCCACTGAGGAGGTAAATGCCTAGTGGTGAAGATGGACGACAAAGCGAATCGTCAGTTCTTGCTCAACTACTTTTCCGTCAGAACTGAAGACGTGGTAGCCAACGCGGACGGATTTTCTGAGACCTGGAATCGCGCTCGTAAGTACCCATTTTTTTTGTGAAAGGTATTTGATTTGTTTGTTTCTAGTCGTAGGCTCTAACATTCTATCTCTTCCTTGTACAGCCGAAACTGCACCTCCTCCTTTGGTCGGGGACATTTTCGACTAGGTTGGCCGGATTCTGCCTCATACTGTGGGGATTCGTGAGTGGCCGGGTTTTCTAAAGAGGTTCAAGCATGCTTCTTCCTTGGCCAGTGAGTTTGTCTATTATTTTTTTATTCTCTTTTGACCACATGGTCTCTTGCACTCTATAGTTTATTACTGGTGGTGACAACCTTCGATTTTTCCTTTTTCAGTTTGAGGGTCTTCCAGGAGGCCGAGGGCTCCTCCTCATGCATTTCGTAAGAGGAAAGATGCTTCTTCTTTGGATTCTCTTCATGTTGTGACCGCGGCTAGCCCTGCTCAATCATCTGCTTCTATTCGTTCTTTCGCTGCGGCCAGGCCTACTCGTTCGTCGACCATACCTACTGTTGCTTCCGTATCGTCTTCTTCTGCGCCCGCAGATATATCGACAGCGAATTTTTCGGCTTCTCCTTTGCTTCATCTAGTGAACAAGAAATAGGAATCATTGTCGAGTGGTGAGAATTTAGTTCCCCGCAAAAGAAGATCGGTGGATGTCGGTGAAGGGATTACCCGGGCGGTGGATTCAGTGATGGGTGATTTTGTAATCCGTGAGATGGTGACCATAGAGCTCGAAGATGACGTCGAGCTACCGCCCGTGGTTTCGCCATCGACTGAAGCCATAGAAGGTATGTCTCTTTCTGAAACCATGACGGAAGCTGAAGGGCCATCGGCGAGAGTCTCTGATAACTTGCGACAAGATGAGCCATCGGCCTCGAGACCGGCCGAGGGTCCTTCTTCGCGGGCTGACAAAAAAGGAAAGTGCATAGCCTAGGATGGTTATGAGACGAGCTCTGATGTTGATGCCGATGAGGTGAGGATGATGGGGGAGGGATTTTCCCAACTCGAAGTAAGATTAGATGAGTCCACGCGGACCATTGCAATCCCCATAGATCGAGATCTATCGGTTAACACGGAGAACATGGTCCCTTACCTTGGTCCCCTCTGTTCCGATGTGGAGGGTAAAACCCTCGAGAAGCTGAATGATACTACCTTATCTATGAGCATAGCCAGCCTTGCTCTCAGGGTAAGCTTTTTGATCTTTCTCATTTTTGTTTGTCAAGTTCAAAGTTTGTTTCATTCTTACTCTCTGTTTTCTTTTTCTCTCTTTCAGACTATGATTTTAGAAATTAAAAGCGCCCGAAGAGAGGAGAGACATAAGTCTATTTTTCTGAAGATGGAGCCAAAATGCCGCGAGTACCGTGGTAAGTATCGCGAGATTTGTATGCGGTTTGGCGAGGGCGACAATTTTTGAGCTCTCCGAGACGAGCTGAAGGAAAAGGATGACGAGCTGGTGAAGGTCATCGAAAAATGCAGCATTCTTGAGGGGGTGCTATGGGACAAAGAAGAAGAGTTGGAGGTTGGTAGGGGGTCGAAGCCCAGTGTGGCGATCTCCAAGCCCAAGTGCTCTAGTTACGCGCGGAGCTCGAGGAGTGTGAATTCAAAGTTGATGCTTTAAGTGGCGAGGTCATTGAGAAGGCAACGTATCTCGATAAAGTGGAGTTAGCTTGGTCGGGGGATATGAGGAAGATGGAGGCTTTGTAGATCATAATTCGTATTCTCCGTTCCGAGCGAGAGAATGCCTCGGAGACGGCTTCTGGCCTTTGTCATCGAGTCACCGCTCTAGAGGCCGAGAAGGCACAATTATTGGCTCGACCATCCTCTTCCCGTGTTTCTAATTTCCTTAATGTTCCTCGAGATTTATACAAGGAGTGGATTTATGTCGAGGTCCAGCTGGATATATTCATAGATCTGATGAAGGCAGGAATCATTTCGGAATCCATCCTCGAGGATGCTCGTGTTAATGCATGTGGAGCTCGGGTCGCATGTGGCTACGATCCTGCTACACCAGAGGCCGGTGACGATGAGGAGGATGCAGGCGTGGACCGGATTGAAGAGGACGCCTGGTATGCGGATGAGTATCCTGATGGTGATGGTGATGGTGAAGGGACGGATGGCAATGGTCTAGGCGATCAGGTCGATGGCGCTGCTGGGCCAGGCGGCGATTAGTAGATTTTATTTTCCTTCTTTTTGTTTTGCCACAGACTTGTGCATTTTTTGGTGGGCGCCTTCTCGAGCCTTTGTAAAGCATATTATAAGTATGAAATACCAGTTTTGTTATTTGTATCTGATTCTTTTTTCTTCTATTCGAGTTTGTATGCTTTTTGATTTTGTTGCTTGGTTGCCTTGGTTTTCTTACTCGTAATAACTTAGATCGAGGAGGGTCGGACGAGGTCGAAACAAAACTTAGGTTTGATCATGACCGGAGGCCAATAGATATTAGTTCGAATGAGTTCGAACATATTATATGTTTATTTATGGCCGAGGGTTGATTAGGTGTTGATTCGAACGAGGTTGAATGTAACCTATACTTAGTTAGGGCCGAGGGCCGACTAAGTGTTGATTCAAATGAGGCCGAATGTAACCTATGCTTATTTATGGCCGAGGGCCGATTAGGTGTTGATTAGAACGAGGTCGAATATAACATATGCTTAGTTATGGCCAAGGGCCGATAAGGTGTTTATTCGAACGAGGTCGAATATAACATATGCTTAGTTATGGCGAGGGGCCGATAAGGTGTTGATTCGAACGAGGTCGAATATAACATATGCTTAGTTATGGCGAGGGGCCGATAAGGTGTTGATTCGAACGAGGTCGAATGTAATCTATGCTTATTTTTTATGGCTGAGGGCCGATTAGGTGTTAATTCGAATGAGGTCGAATATAACCTATGCTTAGTTATGGCCAAGGGCCGATAAGGTACAACATTTGTCGGTGGTATGATTTTAAGGCAATGTTGTTTTGGTTGTACACTTTAGAGAGGATAGAAATAAACTTCATGCATTTGTCCTTTGTTCATACACTTGGAGAAATTTACATATTTTCCGGGCGTTGGCTGGCATTTTAGTCCCAGTCCCAGTCTATCTAGTCCCTTCATTGGTCGACCTGAAAAAGTATTGAGAGGTTGAGCAATGAACTAGCCGTACAGTGCCTTCGTCTGTGCGCACTTCAATCCTCAAGTGTCCCCTTCATCGCCTTGTTAAAAACCTCATCGAGAAAATTCAATGGGACAAAACTCAAGTGAGGGAAAAAAATTACGATTCTGGGGACACCATCTTTTAAAAGTTAAAGTACTTGAGGTGTGTAATATTCTAGTTGTTTGGTAGTTGCTTCCCTTCCATTGTTTCTAGTTGGAATGACCCTTTGTTCGATGTTGCCGTGATTTTGTACGGCAACAGCGATAGCTCGGGTTTGACTATTCCAAATGGCTCATTTGGCCAACCTGCCTGATAGCTCGGGTTTATGCAAGATTCTTCTTAAGGGTAAAGTCGTCCGAGAAGGGGTGGCATTGGAAATATGGTCTAAGCTTTTGTGAAGCTGCGACTAAGGCTAGAGCCAGTTTTTCGAGATGGGGGTATCTCGTCTCGACGTCGACTAGTGTTTTGCTAATGTAATAGATGGGAGATTGCGTACCTTTATCATCTCGGACCTGGACCGCGCTCATAACTACTTCAGACACAGCGAGGTAGACAAGGAGGGGTTGTCTCAGTTCTGATTTCGAAAGCAACAATGGCGATGACAAGTACACCTTTAACTCCTTCAGGGCTTTGACGCACTCAGGGGTCTACTGGAGGTCGTTATCCTTTTTGAGCACGTTGAAGAACTTATGGCACATATCAGAGGATCGCGAAATGAACCTTGAAAGGGCGACAATACGGCCAGTCAACCTCTGAACCTATTTTTTGGTGGTCAAGTGCTCTGGTATCCCTTCAATGGCTTTGATTTGGCCGGGATTGACCTCGATACCTCGCTGGGACACTAGGAAACCCAAGAACTTTAATGAGGCCATGCCGAATACACATTTTTCAGGGTTCAGTTTCATTATGTATTGCCTAAGTATGCCGAAGGCTTCTCTCAAGTGGTCGATGTGATCTTTTTTCCTTTTGGATTTGACCAGCATGTCGCCTATGTAGACTTCCATCGTTTTACCAAGTTGGTCTCTAAACATTTTCGTCACCAACTGTTGATAAGCTGTCCCTACATTTTTCAGCCTGAAGGGCATGACCCTGTAGCAATACGTCCCCTGTTGGGTTATGAAAGTGGTTTTTTCTGATTATCTTCCTCTATGAGGATCTGATTATAGTCTGATTAGGCATCCAAGAAGCTTAGTAGTTCGTGCCCGGCCATTGCGTCGATGAGTTGGTCGATATGGGGTAATGAAAATGAATCCTTGGGGCAAGCTTTGTTCAAGTCAGTGAAATCTACGCACATCCGCCATTTGTCGTTCTTCTTTTTCACCATGACTACGTTGGCGACCTATTGAGGGTACTTTGACTCTCTAGCGGAGCCATTATTCAATAATTTTTCCACTTCTTCGCGTACTACATCTTTAATTACGGAGTTTAACTTACGCCTAACCTGCCTCACCGGGGGTGGAATGGATCGACGTTCAATTTGTACGTGACGATCTCCTTTGGGATACATGGCATATCTGTATGGCTAAAAGAAAACTAGTCCGCGTTAGCAGTTAAAAATTCACAAAACTTACCCGGTTCCTGAAGTCTGCAGCCGGTGTAAGTTTTCTTATTGTGGTCATTATTGTCTAACTGAACGGGGTCGACGTCCTCTGTGGTCGATCCTGCGGCCTCGAGCATATCGAGGTCTCTGATGACGTCCTCGCTGTCATCGCACATTGACCTTGACCCAGTTGATTGTTATGCCTCTTTTTCTTTATCCTTTGTCTGTCGGGTGGTTGTACAATCTAAGGCGATGCAGTAACATTCCTGGGACGTGCGTCATTCCCCTCGTATACTGAATATTCCCCATGAAGTTGGGAATTTGATAACCTGGTACAAATTGGAGGGGATGGCCCTCATGGTATATATCCATGATCGCCCTATTATGGCGTTGTATGTTGTGTCATGGTCCATGATGTGGAATGTGGTTTCCAGAGTGACGCCACCTGCTAGGACGGAGAGTGTGATCTCGTCGTATGTTCGCTCAACTGCAATGTTAAAGCCCGTTAATGTGATGCAGTACGATACTATCTTATCCTCGGGTTTCATTTGTGCAAGTACTCGAGGATGGATAATGCATGCGGCGCTCCCATCATCTACCATAATCCGTCTCACATCGGTATCTAAAATTCGTAAAGTGATAACAATTGCATCATAGTGAGGGAAGGCCAAACCGTTGGCATCTGACTTATTGAAGATGATACTTTCTTCGAGTTTATCATACCGTTTGTGGGTGATCGATTTGAGCTTGTGGGTTGTGGTGAACTTCACACCATTGATGGAGGCGTCGTCCCCGCCATCGATGATCATGTGTATACTGCGGGGCGACGATGGCAGTTTTGGCGGCCCTTGATGTTGTTCACGCCCTCTAACAAAGTTGGTTCTTCCCTGATCGCTCAGTAATTCTTTGAGGTGTCCCTGTCGCATCATGTTTACGATCTCTTGTCTTAGGGCGATGCAATCTTCGATTTTGTGTCCTCGCTCTTGATGGAACTCGTAGAGGGCATCTGATCTTCTGGTATTTGGGTCTGACCTCATCTTTTGTGACCACTTCACCTTCGGTCCGAGCTTCTCCAAGGCGTAGACTATCTCTGTAAGTGACACACAAAAATTTTGAGCGGATAATAAATGGGGCATACCTCTCTTGTTCCGGTGAGTTCCTGTTCTTGATAGGGGTGGGCCCTCTTCGTGGTGGGATGAGGATGTAACGCTGGTTCTGACATATGGGAGATGTCGTTCCCGGTTAGGTCGCGAGGACGCGATATCTCTTATAATATCATTTCTTCGATATTTCCTGGATTCTGCTTGCACCGAGGTCAGTCGATGGGTCAGCCCATTGAGGTCGTCCTCGGCTGCTCTAACTTTGGCACAATATGCATTATGTATTTCGTCCCAAGTCATTGGGGGTACTTCATAAGCTGACTTAATAACTTTCTTGTTGCCCTTGAACCATTTCTGCTCAACCAATTTTGGAAAGCTGCGACAGCCATCCCTTCCAATACATTCGGTAAGGTCATTCTTACTCGGTTGAATCGGGCGAGAAATTCCCTCAATCCCTCTCCCGGCGACTGTTTGATAGCGAATATGTCCTTTACTCTCGCATCTACCTTTTTGGCCCCAGCATGGGCCGTTACGAACTTGTTGGCCATTTCTTCGAATATTTCAGTGGAATGCGCGGGCAGCTGTGAATATCATGTTAATGCTCCTCCAATGAGGGTATCACCGGATTTTTCCAACAAAATGGAGGATACTTGTTCTTTGGTGAGGTCATTGCCTTTCACGGCGGTGACGTAGTGGGTCACATAGTCTTCGGGGTCGTTCATACCGTCGTATATTTTCAGGTAGGGCAGTATTTTTGAAGGTCTTTGGTATGTCATGTGGGGCGGCATCGTCGTTGCATGGTTGCTCTATGAACCGACCGGAGTCTCTCTTCGGCAAGAGCTTAGGAGCGCCCTGTATTTTATCGACCCTTTCTTGGTGTTTCTCTCATTTGGTCCCGAAGTACCTTTTTCTCATTTTACATTTCCTCCATCCTTTTCAGAATGACCGTGAGAGTTTCGTCATCTACATTATTAACATCATTGTGAGTAGTACATGTCGCTGCAGGAAGATGAGGAAATTGACCATGTTGCTCGTCTGTTGGTGGTATGACGCAAGTCCTTGTGTTTTCTGTAGCTGCGTCCCGAACGGGCTTATGGAGGACGCTGGTTAGTGTGTCAGTTAGCCAAGCCTCAAGGAGCTTTTTTTATTGCTGGGGGTATCTCTTCCATCACAGATGTGAAGGTCCCCTTACTACGAGATTTCGTGATGCTACAGTGAGGAGGGGTGACCCGCCTCGCCTGGGGGAGGCATTGGGCGTTGCATCCTCATCCACTGCTTCAGAACTCTCATTGATGATCATCATGAGGTTGGTTGGGAGGTCGATCATTATTCTCACTCTTTCTTCTCTGTTACCTGCCATATCAGACATGTGTAAACAGAGAAAGGAGATCTTGTTCTTGATTTTTTTTTTTCACGTTAGCAACCCGTGTTAGTTGTAGATCTAGAGGAAAGTAAAAATTTAACTAGAAAATTTCCACAGACGGCTCCAAATTGTTTGACCAAAAAGTATAACTTTTGGTTAAACCATTATATTTATGTAATGATGGGTTAAACCTAGTTAATACTTAATAATAATATTCCTAAACGAGGATCTTGAAAGTACGGACAATGTGGGGTTGATCGAGTGGGGGATTAATAATATCGTGTGTTAAATATTTTAAATGTATGAACAATAACGGAGGAGTAACTAGCAATAAATAACAATAAACGGCATTTAAGTAAATAGAAAGAATGAATCACCCAATAATGAATGAGTTGGATGATTGTTCCTCCTGACAATGATGCGTGACAGATAAATTCGAGAATGTTCGAACTATTCTCGAATCTGATGAAAAAACATGGAATAATATGAGCAAGAATATTGTTAGTGAAAACATTTTTAGTGAGGAAAATATTTTTCAAAACATTTAAGTCAACCAACCATGAAAAAATTGAAAAAAAAAATCGAAAAATATTTTCCTTCGTATCAAACACACCCGTGATTTGATAGATTTCGACATGTTATCCTTCTTCACGTTACCGACGTATACTTAACGTGAACACTTATCGTATTTTTTCTTACATAACTTGATTGTATGATCTATTTATGTGAATTTGCAACTATTATTAATTTTAAACTAGAACAAAGAATAAATGTTATGCCAGATTAACAGTGAGAATAAAACTGACCAATCATTTTTCCATATATGAGCTAAAATGAAACAACATGATTGGTTAGAATTCATATAGTCGACCCAACTTGTTTAAGATTGTGACATAGTATATTATTGTTGTTATAACTTTGACTACATAAATAAAACATGCTTAAAACTTTGATTTAAAAATGCTAAAGTGATCGGTCATCATAAAAACTTTTCTTTTATTGTAAAAAGAAAATAATTTTACAACTCTGAAATGTATAGTAATTTTGAAAAAAATAAAAGAGAGGAGAAACTACTACGAAGACACGAAGTACTTTACGTTGCGTAAAACTCAGCAAGAGAATCATGAATGTTACCAAAACTAGAGTTGCATGTGTTGAGGGAATCATGAATGTTACCAAAACTAGAGTTGCATGTGTTGAGGGAATCATGAATGTTACCAAAACTAGAGTTGCATGTGTTGAGGGTGTTGGGACTCGTGGTCGTGGTTGTAAGATGTTCGGACTAATTAAGGTCGTGAATTTGTTCTAGAAATTATACTATGTAACCACTCTAAAGGGTTGATATTTAAGAATTAATCAAATGCGTTCTAAATTTTAATTTTTAAGTTTATATTTTTCGAGATATAAATGTCATGAATTGTCCTAAAATTAAAATTTTTAGTTCAAAATTTCAGGATAAAATAAGTATTGACTATCTCTAAATAACAATTCAAGAGCTTAACAATTAAATTTTCTATCTAAATATATTTTGTAATCTGTCAAATGAAAAATATATCATGTGCAAATCTTCAAATCTTATATATTATGCAATAGATTGTGTGCCTATTTTTAGAATTATTAGTAATAAAGATTCTATATGGCTGTTATAGATTTACAAAGAGTGTTCTGCTATAAATATGGTTGTTGTTGTTATAGGTAAAAAGCTGTTATAAAGAGGTAAAATATAACTTAGGAAAACTTGGCTTTTATAGTGAATGACTGTTATATAGGGATACTGTTATAGAAAGATCTAATTGTATTATGATTACCGTATTTTTGTTTATTTCTTTCAATTCCAAGAGTTATATTTGCATACATTTTTAACATAGTAATCAAATTTAAATAGTAGCCTCAAAATGGATATTTGCGTAAATCATCATCCTAAAAGTGGAAAATCTTTTATGCTATTAACCTGGATAACCTGTTATCAATATAGAAATTAATGGTGTACTACTATATATATTCATTAGCAAATCTAGTGACAATTAACCGCCGCGGATTTAATTAACAATAATGAACCGTCGTTATAAAAAACACGTGTCTGATTATTGTTGGCTTACAAGAGATGAGAAGCAATCTAGGTAATCGATGTTGTGCGGCTAGTTCAACTTAAAGTAGGTGTCTGCATGTGTTCCCGTGTCTGAATCAAAGTAATTAAGTCGACGGTGTATGAAATTAAAACTAGTGAAAAAGCTGTCTCATTTCTCATTTCTGAAGTGAGAACAGAAATGGCGACCATCACTGCTTGCACCACAACCTCTTCAGTAGCCCGTGCTGCTCTCTTGCACAATGGATCTGTATCTCGTCTCTGCTCTATTCTTGGTATGTTAATATTTCACATATCGGTCTTAATCTTGATAAGAGTTTAACTTCTACAAAGGGAATTAATGTTTCTTTTTTGTTTAAGCTTTCTAGCTAGGATTCAGCAAACTAAATTATGAAAAGAGTTTTAGTATAATTGGCAGGGGCGAAGCTAGGTGGACGGAGGGGTTCAGTCGAGCCTCTTCGTTTGAAAATTACACTGTATTTTTTCGTGTACGTATGTTACATATTGAATCTCCTTAGCTTCTTCGCATGTTAAAAGTCCTGCTTCTGCCAGTGATAACTGGTGTAAGATATACATATGATACTGCTGATAGAGTTGGGTAAAATCATTATCAAGGATCAATAAAAAATCCCAAAAGAGAATTTGATGTATATATACTTTGTTTCCCATTCTCAAAATTAAGGTTAATATGTAGAATTAGTCTCGTGCCATTTGATTATTTTCCTGATATTGAATGATTTAGTGTTAGTTGACTTAAAATGAGTAATTTATGATTTTATCAAATGTATACCTAGATTAAATTCTTATTTTTGTATGTACAATACAATCAGTTCTCTCTATAACAACCATCATCTATAACAATACTTCACTATAATGATCAAGTTTTCTTTGGAATTTATTTTCATATTATGTTTTCTATAATAAGACTTCACTATATCAATCGAAAAAAATATCGGAACAAACGGGACTGTTATAGAAATGTTTGACTGTACATATATAACTCGAGTCATAAACTTTATTAACTGAACTAACAAATTCCATCCTAAACGTAACAAACAAGAATAACAACATACCAAGTGTAATCTCACGAGTGGAGTATGAGGCATCTATGTAACAACTGGCTCACAATTTCACAGGTTTGCCAGCCATGAGCAAGAATATGGGAAAGGTAAGATGTTCAATGGAAGGAAAATCAACAGGGAAAGAGAGTGAGGCAAAGTTAGGAATGGGTGCATCTTTGATGGCAGCAGCATGTGCAGCAACAATGTCAAGCCCAGCAGCTATGGCTTTAGTGGATGAAAGAATGAGCACAGAAGGAACAGGGCTTCCATTTGGTTTGAGCAATAATCTTCTTGGTTGGATCCTTTTTGGTGTCTTTGGTTTGATTTGGTCTCTTTACACTGTTTACACTTCTAGCCTTGATGAGGATGAAGACTCTGGATTGTCCCTTTAATTTGAGCTTGTAATTAAGCAGTTCTCACAATCCATCAATCCTTATTCTTAATTGAGTGAACTTACGTAAAATTACTATGGTCACCAATTAATTAATTGTACATTGGTGCTGTATCAATTAATTTGTTCAGTTGCTTGTAGTATATATTCCTTTTTTGCTAATTTACTTCACGTTGTTCTTAGCTCTTCCATGACATCTTCATTTTATTTGATGCAGTATTAGAGTAGTTGATAGTTGATATTTGGTTATAATGACCGGTGTTTACCCTCAAAATCGGATAACAATTGAATTTGTAAGTGGTTTTAAGGATATCGGGATTAACTTGACATAAAGTGATAAATTAAGTTGCAATTGAAATAAACGATGACAAAATAAATTCAAACCACATGAATTGGACAATTTCAATGTTGAAAGGCGAGTCACCCTCAAACCTGATGCACTTTGATCGGTATTCGGTATCAAGATACAGAAAAATAAGAGCTTAAAGAGAAAAATAATAATATATTGCTTTTGAGTGCACGTTACAACGTGTTTTATAAATTATCAGACCCTCCTTTATATAGTAGAGGAGTCCTACTTTAGATACAATTCTATAAAAGGTAAAAAATCTCTTGATTTACTCATTGCCAGTTCCTTATTGATACGTGCCGAGATTCCGACGTAATATCCGACCGGTCACAGATATTTGGGTCTTCTGTTGGCTATACTAATAATGTTTCTTCGAGCTCGCTCGAGGTTAGGATCGATTCCGGGATCACGGTCTTGATATTCTCAAAGGCAAGCGTTCTGTCCTCGGGTTCTAGCTCGGTGGGACTTGGGGTCTATCTTCAGTCCTTTAATGCCAATTTTCGAGCCCGACCTACCATGTCGTAGGCGAGCTCGATTTTGATCGTATATAGATAGTACCATCGTGTTTCGGAGAGTAGACGACGAGAAATGCTACGAGCTTCCGATTCTTACTTCGATACCCCGTGACATAAACGACAAAACAAACGAAACATCTCGTCAGTCAAGTTTTAACGGCATTAAATGCATGTCAATCGCCGGTCGGCTATTCATGGATGCGAAGCGCCGCTGAAATACTATAAATACCTCTACCTTTGTTCATTTTAACTTTACATTCAAACCTTTTTATCCTCGTATTTTTGAAATTTCAATACTCTCTAATAATCAAACTCTGGTTTATTTGAGATCTTTTGCAAGAACTTTTGTACATCTCCATCTCAAGCCATTAAGTGCACTCATTCAACTTCCTCTCTTCCTCTATTTTCCCTCTATTTTTATGGCAAAGACTTCAGAAAAACGTTCCCAAAAAAGAAACACCTTCTACTTCACGGTCGGCTACTGAGGCCGAAGAAACTGTTTCGCGTACTGCCGTCGATGAACCAGTACCGGAACCCCTTTGAAAATGTTCATCCCTGAAGGATGCTCGGTAACCGCCGATTTCAAGGTCGAAAAAACTTTCTCCGTACAAGGCCAGTGTGAGGAGGTCTCGAGATACACATGTTCGATCACTGAAGAAGTCCTCCCTACAGTCCGAAAAGATTGCAATTGGGCCGGTAAAGGCATAGTGATCCCTGACCCCGATGAAGCCACCACCACCCATGTCGAGGGATACCAAAGTGTTTATACTTATCACTTTACGTTGGGCATGATGTACTCGGTCATCGTTGAATTCTGCAAGGGGTACGAGGTATGCCTCGGTCAGATTCATCCTTCGCTCTAGAGGATCGTGATCCTCCTCCGAATCTTCGTGAGCAGAATCGATAGCTGCTCGTTCACCGTTGACCATCTTCTACGCTTGTACAGTCCCCGAATCTTCCGGAGGGACTGATAAAGCTTGTGTGCCGAACCAGCAAGGCTCCGTTCTCGAGTATTGATGAAGACCGGGATCGGGGCTGGCAAGGTCGTTTTGTCTGAGTGAGGACTTCAGACCTGATCCCAGCTTATCACGACCCAATTTTTCCTCCGTTGGGTATCGTGATGGCACCTAATCTTAGGGACTAGGTAAGCCTAACATTTACTGAATGACAACCATAATAATTAACATCTAACAACTTGAAATGGAATTCTTTATAAAAATTTATAATTTTCAAAACCGGTAGTACAAGTCATAAGCTCTACTAAGTTACTAGAAAGCCTATAAATATAAATGTTTTGAAATAGATATAAAACAGTGCAAGTACAATATCATAAGGTGACTCTGAAGCTTGCGAACGTAGCAACAGATTTACCTTGAGTCTCCACAGCAAGATCTGTACTGCTAGCGATTGGTAAACTGACTTCACATTACCTGACTCTGCAAAAAAATATGCAGAAAGTGTAGTATGACTACACCACAGTCGGTACCCAGTAAATATCAAGACTAACCTTAGTGGAGTAGTGACGAGGTACAATAAAGACACTCACTAGTCAAATAACTTGTGCAATATAGCAGTATATAATAGTATTGGAAAACAACTAGCAATCATAACAAGAACATCGTAATTATTGCTCAGACAAATAAGGAACACAAATACAACCAATTAACCAAGTCCTTCAAATATAAATTCTTCACATATTATTCTTTAAGATAAATATCTTTCGAATATACTTCTTTTGAATAAATATATTTTCAAGTAAAAGTCACCACGTGACACCTCATTTCAATATCATAAAATTACGGGTCTCAGCCCACTTTCTTATTTTTCACGGCACCTCGTGTCCATATTTCTATCACAGCTACACAGATAATTCACGTGTCAATAATAAAATCATCCTATTTTCCCCGGAACCTCATGCTCATATTTCTTCATAATCGCACAGACAAATCACGTACCAAAATATCAATATATATAAGATCCGCATGATCAATTTATTTTCAATAAAGTAAGTTTACAATTTTTGAACCAAGTAAGAATTCATCAAATAAATGAGTTTATTTTTGAAATAATTTGAGTAAAAAAAAATGACATTTCAATTTAAATAAAGCATCAGATAATCTATTGCTTCATATGTAGAACGTATTAGTTTAAAACATAATAGTAACTTCTTTTATTTAAAATAACTCAGTCATCAAAAACCTGTAAAAATCAGGAATATAAATCTTCAGAGTCTGGTACTAAAAAGCCCAAGCTAACACAATACAACGAAGAATACAAACACATAGCAAAATTAAATAATACATCACGGCAGATCACAAGGATTGACCTATCACGGAAATACAAAATAACCAAAGACGAGTGCAATCATAGAGAGATGTCAACAAGAGGGCACTCCTGAGATACCGCCTCGTAGTCTCAAAAGTAAATATGCAAGACAGGGGGATCTCCCGAGGGACTGCCTCGTAGTCCCAAAGTAAATATGCAACAACAACAATGCCCCAAGGCTATCACAAGTCATCACAATTCAATTTCCGACATAACTCACCTTGTATCGCCACATGCGCAATAATAATGTAAATGCCCGCCTTGTCTCGTCGCACGCGCATAATAATATTTCTACCTTATCTCGCCACATGCGCAAACCCCACGCGCGCACACACACACACACACACACACACACAA